TTTTTTTTTTTTTTTTATAACTAAAAACCATTTTGCAGAGAGAGGCTGCTCACCCAACAGATGTCTCCATCTCCAAAACAGCCTTGTACTCCCGCATCGGGACCTCCGAGGTGGAGAAGTCTGCGGGCCTTCTGTTCCAGCAGCCTGACTTGGACTCTGCACTCCAGATCGCTAGAGCAGAGGTACTGTGTCGTGTGCCTTGGAGAAAGCCCGCTCTGGGGACTCAGAAAGGATCCGGTTCCTGCCTCTTGTAAATAAATATTTATACCCACAGCCCCCAAAGCCAGGGTCTTTAGAGAAAGACTTCCTCCTCTGAATACTGCAGCCAGAGATGTGTGGCCGTATTTGGATTTATAACCAAAGGCACATTCCTTTCAATTGTCCCCCAGTGGGCATCGTGGCTCATGTTCGGGGAAGTTCTCTGAATGTAATGATGGTTTGGTGTAGGAAGTTCTAATTCTACATTTATTCAGTGTCTCCTTGTTCTGGCGTGTGAATTGCTCACGTGCGAATTCACTCATTTGAGGCTAACCTTTGTCTTCTCCCTGACACTAGATCATAACCAAGGAGAGAGAGGTCTCGGAATGGAAGGATAAATACGAAGAAAGCAGGCGGGAAGTGATGGAAATGAGGTCAGTGGTGGAGCTTGGCTTTCCTGGTGCCCGGGGCATGCTTGCCTGTGGTGTGATAGCGGCTGGAGCTGGGGTGGCCCATGAGTAGTGTCTTCGAAAGAAGAAGTTCTCTTTTCTTTATTATGCAAGGTTCATGTTTTTCAAAAGTATTTTTAGTATATTACTATTATTAAAATAGCATGCACACAAGTTAAAGAATGCAATCAAATAAATATACATACAATGAAAAGCAAATCTTTCCACTCAGCCTCCAGTTCCAGAACCAACAGATAACTGCTACCTGCTGTCTCTCGTGTATCCTTCCAAGAATTTTCTATTTCTGATCACAAATGTGTGAATGTATCTATACAGCCTCCTTTTTTCTCCAGAACAAATGAGAGTGCAATATAAATTATTCTCTACTCTTTTATAATAGCTTATCTTGAACATATTTTTATACATCTCTACTTCATTCTGTTTAACAGGTGGTTATTGGTCCATCGGATGCATATAACGTAATTAACTTAACCAGTCTCAGTGGATAGACATTTAGGATTTTTCCTGACTATTGCTCGAATGATTTATTTTTATTTGTTAGATATTGTAATAGACATACGATAGCCACCATGTATAGTTCACTTAATTACAACAGTCAGTGCTAGTTTATTTTCGAAATCAATTGTGTTCCTGGCTACCATTTTAAATAGCCAGCAAACTAGGTGATCATATCCCCTGTTTTCTAGGTCACAGTCGTAGCTTCCTGAAAATTCTTCTGTTAGTTCCTTCTTTCTCCTGATGGTTTCCTGTGACCACTTCT